TTCCCTCTGATGCCGCTGCTGCTGCTGCTGCTGCTGCTGCTGCAGGATCTGTTTTCTCAGCCTGAAGGAGACGTAACCGTCGCACAGGGCCCCAGCGCGAAGGGCAGCGGCGCCACCTGCTGGCCAACACTCTTCTGCAGCAGCTGAAGCTGCAGCAACAGGTCCATTGCTGCTGCTGCTGCTGCTGCTGGTGCTGGCTGTCGGGGTGTCTTTGGTGCCCCCCGCGACGTGCAGCGAGACAGAAGACGCGTCTCCTTCTGCTGCGGAATAATCATCTGCTGCTGCTGCTGCTTCTGCTGCAATGGCCAGGGACGTACACCGCCTAGCTAACTCCGCCTCATAGGAAGGGTTTGTGAACAGCAACTCGAGTACCTGAGGCAGCATATACACCCCAATGCAGCAGCAGATCTAGCAATGCTGCAGCAGGAGCAGCGCCCATAACACACTGCTGCAGCAGCAGATATACCCCTATGCAGCACACGATCAAGCACTGCTGCAGCAGCAGATACACCCCACTGCAGCAGGTGCCTCTTTCTGTGCATCACGGAGACGACGCGCAGCAGCAGCATATGTCCGGGCATAGTTCTAAGCCCTCAGTCAGCAGCAGCAGCAGCAAGAGCAGCAGCAAGGGCAGCACCTGCATGATGCGGATGAGGCTCATGTGCGCCGGCTGTAGCTGCTTCTGGTGATAGAGGTGCCGCAGCAAACGGCGGCGTACGGGCGTCCGCGTAGTGAGCAGCGCCGCCCGCAAACAAAAACCAGGAATATCAGCCTGTAGCAGCAGCAGCAGCAGCAGCAACAACAACAACAGCAGCCACAGCAGCAGCAGGAGCAACGGTGGTGGGAATGGGGACACGCGACGTAGGGGACTTGCAACGGGCAGACAGCGCAGCAGCAGCTGCTGCTGCTGCTGAAGCTAACAGGAAACAGGAAACAAAGAGACAGATAGGGAGACAGCACGAAACACAAGGAAACACAAGGAGACACAAGGAGACAGAAGGAGATTAAGAGACACAAAGAGAAACAGAAAGAGGCAGGAGGAGACACAAAGTGACAGGACACAGAGGGAAAGACAAGGAGACAGGAGAAAGATAAACTAGATGAGACAAACGGGGACGGAGAAAGGCACGGGGAGACACAATCAGACAGAAGGAGACTGCGGGAGACAGGAGGAGACAGGAAGAGAGAGGAAAAGGCAAAAGGAAACAGGAGGAGACAAACCGAGAGAGGGAGGAGAGACAGAGGAGACACGATGAAACTGGTAGTGCACTGCGCTGCTGCTGCTAGAGAGCTGATCTGTTAACTGCAGCAGTACCGTCTGCTGCAGCAGCAACAGCTAGCCTTAGCAGTAAGCAGCAGCAGTAGAACCAGCAGCAAGCAGCAGCAGAAGCAGCAGCAATTGCGGCATGCAGCAGGGTTCTTACCCCTAGCTGCCGCAGCATCTGCAGCCCCACGAAGAAGAGCTCCGCCTGCTGGCAGCAAAAGAGTCTGTAGGCCATTCGGTCAGCCACTTGCTGCAGCAAATCCATTGCGGAAACCTGCTGCTGCTGCTGCTTCTGCTGCTGCTGCTGCAGCCGCTGCTGCAGCCACACCAAACCCTTGCTGATCCGCCCGCTCAGCAGCGTCTCCCTGACGACGGTCTCCACAGACGCATCCGGGCCCCACGGTAGCTCGGCGTCCCTCTGCGTGACAGCAAATAGCTGCTGCTGCTGCTGCTGCTGCTGTAGTGGGTCCGAGTCCAGCAGCATCACCGCCTGATGCTGCTCCTCCTGCTGCTGCTGTTCCGGCCGCTGCTGCCTAGCAGCAGCAGCCGAGACGCGCTGCTGCAGCCACCGCAGAAGCCGAACGTACAGTGCAAGCTCTGAAAGCTCATCTGTCAGCTGTTGTTGCTGCTGCTGTTGATGCTTGCTCGGCGCAGCAGCAGCAGCAAGGTCTATCTTGGCTAGAACACGTAAGTCCGTGAGAGAAGCAGCAAACTGCAGTAGCCGCAGCAGCAAACGCGAGCTGAACCCGATATCTAGGAGGGATGCTGCTTCGCACTGTAGAATCACTGCAGCAGACGGCACGTCTGCTCCTGTTGCTGCTGCTGCTGTTGCTGTTGCTGCTGCTGCACCCTGTGCTGCTGGAGCTGGTGCTGCTTGCCAAGGCAACACCAGAGAAACCAAAGAAGGCGGAAACTGTATGCGGGTGTCCGTGCTGTTGCAGCTGCTGCTGCTGCTGCTGCTGTTGATGTCGCTACCACTGCTGCTGCTGGCGTGATACCTTCGTGTTGCTAGGCCGCGGTCCCTCAGTCGGTGCAACTCGGTGCAACACTGCTGCTGCTGCTTCTGCTGCTGGTGCAGCGCCTGCAGCAGCATCAACGCGCGCTGGGCAATTGCATTCGACTCGTATATAGATGGGGTATCTCCAGCAGCAGCAGCGGCAGCAGCAGCAGATTGTGTCGTCCCTTCTGGTGTTGCAAAGGCAAAAGGCAGCGTCTCTCCGCTGTATCCATTAAACACAAAGGCCATGAGAAGCCGCATAGCAATCATTTGCTGCTGCTGCTGCAGCAGCAGCAAGGCCTCTGCGA